AAAGTTGGAAAAGCTAAAGAAAAAAGAAGTTGGAGTTTGCAGAAGCTACTCAGCAACTCGCCAAGTGAGCCTCCAACACGCCTAAAGTTCCAGCAAAGTAGTCCATGAACCAAACCAACTTGAAGAGAAAAAAAGGTGATTCGGTGACGCCCCGAATGGATCAGCAACAACGATCAAGCTCGCCAAAAGGTCTAAAACAATTTGATGGAGAAGCCAATCGAAAAGGCAAGATGAAGAGAAATTCGGTGGATCACCGAATGAGTCGGCGATCCCGACTAACTTTGCCGAGTTAGAAAAACAATTTAATAGGAACATATTAATTCAATTTTTGAAGTAGGAAAAAGAGTTCCCACACTATTTATTCCTGTTTTTTGAGAGTTTTTACATTGTTTAACATTCTTAGTGGTGTTTGGGATTTAGATTTCAAGATTGTATGATTTTAGCTTCGATTTCAACATTTGGGTATTGCAGATCGTTAGAAATTCAGATGGAAAACTTTGTTGGTAACGATTTCTTGCTTTTCACTATGCTTAGCTAAAACACCTCATCTTAAGGGTGTGATTATGTAGTTGAATATATTAATAAGCTAATGGGTGTTATTATTTGTTGATTTTAATGTTGTTTTGAAGTGGATTCAATTATTTTGTTCATGTTTTAATTGATGAATTGAAGTTGCTAATTCAATTCTAGTTTAGCTCTTTATGCTTGCTTGAGAAAGAGGTAATAGAGTAGATTGATTGATTGGTAGTTGTATTGATTGCATCTTTAAAATCTAGCTTGAGAAAGAGGGTTTGATTGCGTCTTTACAAACCCAGCTTGAAAGAGTGGGTTGATTAGGGAATTGGGTTGTTTAGTCATGATAAGCTTGTTAAGATTCGAGATTACTCACTTGGAACACAATATTTAATCGAGAGATTCTATTGTACTCAAAACCTAGCCTATCCATTAAGATTCAACAATTTTAAGAAACTAGTAACTACCCATTATGTGAAATTAGCATTCTACTGTTCACATTCCTAAAGCCCGATCTCTAAATGTCTACTTCCCTTGTTACGTATTCTTTGCCATAAATTGGTTACTTATCCCCCCCCCCACACCATTTGCTATTAATTATTTAAACTTTGTGATTTGTTTTCTTGTTACAAAATCTTTACTTCTACAATAATTTGGACACATTTTTACTTCTTAATTAAATTCTTTTCCGTATCACTCCGTGTGGGATCGACCCCAACTCTTAGTTGGATTTATACTTGTTAGAGACCGCCTACACTTAGAATTGGACGAAAGTGTAGTTTAGCGTTATCAGCCACCTTAATCCCTTAATCAAGCACATGGTACCAGTTCAAATCCATGATTACAAGATATTAAATAAAGCAATTCAACATACCGACTAAGTTAAATCAACACACAATCCCATAATTACACCCCTAGAGATTGGAGTTTTAGCCACTTGTCACAAAGTGTAAAAAAAATATACCTTGCATGAAAGCATCCATGGGTAATATGAAATTATGAAATTAAGAAATTACAAGCAAACCCATTTTAAATTAAACTTCAATTTATCAAAATTTTAGATAAAAGTTAAAAAACCCAAAAGACAAAAAATGTTCTTCACAAAGTAGAAAATGTTTCTCCCTCTAGAATATTCAGAACTCTCTCACAATTTTCGGATCCCCTTTTTCTATCTCTTTTGGGCTATTTAGAGTTTCTCAAAATTTGGCCCAAAACTCAATGCGTGACTCAAGTAGTGATGTTAGTCGGGATTGCCTATCTCATTGGGTGAATCACCAATCGCTCATTAGTTCACCCTTCTCTTTCTTTAGGCTTTAGGTGTTTAAAAACCTCAGTTGACAATCTCATTCGAGTCTGCCTTTCACATTAGGTGCACTGACATTCACCACCTTTGTTCACCTTTTAAGCCTTCAATTTTTTTCGGAGTACTGTCATATTCAGCAATCACCTTATTGGTCTTTTGCATTCAGGGAGTCACCTATTTTCTTCGAGTTAGCCGATCTCCCTCTATTAATTCTATCATTGCACTTTCAACTTACGTGAGGTCTTACCCCTGGGCAATCCACCCTTCCTATTAGGTGATCAACAATGTGGACCTTACACTTCTTTTTATGTTTTTGGCCAGTCTCACAAACAATCATTCTTGCCTTGTCCATTAGCCTTGAAAGATGCAAATCATTGAAATATCATTAGCATAGGACATAAATAGGCATTGAGGACATAAATTGTTGAACTACATAGTCCTCAAATGAGTGCATATCTACCAGTCATCCGTTGCTCAACTCTGTAACTAGGTGCATCAGCTCTCGGCTATGAAAGAGGGGTAAATTCATTCACATCGGGCAGGGTAATATCACCCTACAACATGGAAATATTAATGGACCTCCCACATCATCCCTAAGGGTTGATTTGTCTCCCCTCAACTCAGTTAACTTAGAGGGGCTTTTCCTACACTTTTCTCTTGCCTTAACTCTCGTGGTGAAGTTGTCCAATCTCTCCCCGTATAATTCTAGAGTGGAAAAGTGTACTACAACCTCAGCCCTAACTGGGAACATCTATGTGTTGATAGCCCTCTCAACAAGACTAGGTATCTCTCTCTTAATCCTAGACGTCCTAACATCTGCAGAAAGTGCAAGGTTGTCCATCTGATAAATAAATGCCTAGGTCAAGGGTCACCGAGATGTCAATGCCTAGGTCAAGGGTCACCAAGATGCAGGGGTAGGTGCAGTTGGACTAAATGGTACCAAAGAATTAGAAGGCATAACTAAGGGTGGAGTGATACATGAGGGCTCTACAGTAGGAGTGAGACGAGCAGCATTAGAATCCAAGGTAGTGTAATCTACTACCAGAGTTGTGTCAGGTTGTGGAGACTTCCTTCTAGTCGCATCATCTCTCAAATAATCGGCCTCTATCCTCCGGATGTTATTGGAAGAGGTTGGGGTAACTCTGAAATCTCTCCATTCTCAGTATGGCACTCATGCAGCCTCACACAATTGTGAGATTAAGACTGGAAATGCGACCAATGTCTGCTTGGGGCCTGTTGTCATCAACATCTCCTCAATAATACCACCGACATGGATATCTACCTGGCTAATAATGCTGAAAACCAATACAACCTTCGGGTGTCGAAGGATAAATTAATTTTGGGATAGCATGGGTTGCTGCTAATTAACCCAAACTAATACTAGGAAGCGATGTTCATGTTTTTCTTTTCTATCTTCACTCCGTCAGCCATCCACGGAAGAATATTATAAATAAAATTTGAGGCCCCAACCACCCCTTAAGTACATCCAAGCTTTGCTTTATTCTATTGGTCACTTAAATTTGTGACTAAGACAGTGGTGGATGCAGTTTGCGGTAAATATTTCATGAGGAAGTCCTTCTCTGAAATGATGGTTATCATGGATGAGGTATTGAAGAATAACAAAGTTTGGCATACAAGAGATGCATAAATCGAGAATCATGGGTTCTCACTTGAGGTTTCAGCCCAGTAGAGAAAGAGCGGAAGAATAACACCAAGACATGGCTCACATGAAAACTTGGATGTATATACAAACAAAGCATCTAATAGGTGGTCCGCAAAATGTAAATGCACTAGGTGCTGCAGGTAGGTATGAAGACCATAAGTTTGATTTTTATGAGGAAGACAAATACTTGAACAACATGGGGGTTTCCGGAATTACAAGTCAGGAACCAAAGGCTATAATTCTAGAATGAAGGTAGAAACTATTAGCGGGATGGTCAATATGACAGACCTGGAAATAGAGGCCAAGATAATTGGCAAACCTAAGATGGGTTCAAAAATGATCGAAGTGATGTGTACGTGCCTCCAAGAACAGAGATAGAAAATGTAATAGGTCTAGTGGGTCCATGTTGGAAGATATGTTGGTAAAGGTGTTGAAGAAGGTTGAATCTACTAATGTGGGAGTAAAAGAGTTGAAGACCAATTTGTCCAACATGAGTCATCTTGTGTATTCACACTTAACGTCTATTAAGAAATTAGAATGACAATTGGGGAAACTCTCAGCCTCATTGAACCAAAGAAAAAATGGGACACTGCCAGTGACACTATTCAGAATCAAAAGATGATTGGTGTTGCATTACTATCGCCACTAGGAGTGGTAGATCGTTGCAAGAATTTGTACATCCAAATATTGAGCAGAAAACAAGTATGGATCTAGATGTAAAAAATAAGGCAAACATATGAGGTTTAGAAGAATCAGATGCAACTAAAGAGGTAGAGATATCTCCAGGAGCAGCGGAAACTATAGGAAAAGAGAAAGAGCCTGCTGTAAAGGCACCACAACCTTTATAATATATTCCAAAACTCCTCTTCCATTCCTGCAAAGGCTCAAGGAGAAATTTGAAAATAGAAAGTTCTTGAATTTTATCTCCATGCTTCATCAGCTATCAGTAAATATTCCATTAGTAGAAAAGTTTGGAATAAATGTTAGGCAACGCAAGTTCATGAAGAACTGAGTGACAAAGAAGAGACCACTAAGTTTCGAACCTATATATAATGTTCACCATTGTAGTGTATTGCTACAATGTCCTGGGTACTGAATAACGAGGATTAAGGTGCATTTACAATACCTTACACAATTGGTGCATTCTATTTCGCCAAAGCTCTGTGTGATTTGGGGATAGTATCAAACTCATGCCGCTGGCAGTATACAAACAACTGGACTTAGGAACTCGAAAACCTACTGCAATGAGACTAATATGTCAGTTAAAAGTCCCATGGCATTCTCTGTGATGTATTGGTCAAAGATGTGAGATTCATCTTTCTGGCAGTCATTGTGATTTTGGAATGTGATGTGGATTTCAAATTTCCCATTATTTTGGGGAGGCCATTTCTTGCCACTGGTAGATAATTGGTTTATGTGGAAAGCGGTGAGTTAAAGTTTAGGCTGAATAATCAAGAGGTTAAATTCAAGGTGTGCAAAACAATAAAGAAAGCACAACATCGGTGTGTGCCTAAAGTTGAGATGTTGAGTATTCTTGAAGCTTGTCTCTCCTCTCCAGTTTGTGCACACCATGGAGGAGCTCACACTACCCACAAATTTTTTCAAAGTGGTTACAACCGGCCCACAATTCATCAAGTTATATTTGATTTGGTAAAAGCCTTTGATACGTCCCAAAGGCACGGAGCTATATCTCGTTCTCATGAGCTGCATGTGACCCGTATCTTGGAGGTAGAGTTGCTTGATGTGTGGGATATCAACTTTATGGGATCATTTTTGAGTTCTTATGTGCAAAAGCACATCTTGGTGGAAGTAGACTATGTCTACAAATGGGCAGAAACAGTTGCATTGGCGGAGATAGATGGAAAGAGTGTTGCTAGTTACTTAAAGAAGAATAGTTTCTCTAAGTTTGACATACCTAGAGAGATTAAAAGTAATGGGGGTTCACACTTTTGTACCAAAGTGTTTAGCACACTATTGGCTAAATATGGTATGAGATAGCATAAAGTAGCTACCCCATACCATCCACAGATGGGTGGACAAGTTGAGATTTCTTATCGAAAAATAAAGTCCATACTGGATAAGAATGTGAATGCCAATACGAGTGATTGGGAAAGGAAGTTAGATGATGCATTAAGGGCATACTAGATTACTTTCAAAATACCCATTAGTATGTCACCGTACCAGTTAGTATTTGGAAATGCATGTCATTTGCTTGTAGAATTAGAGCATAGGGCATTGTGGGCGCTAAAAAACTAAATTTGAGTCAGAGTGAAGTGACAAACTTGAGGTTGGAGCATATAAATGAGATGGATGAGTTTTGCTAAGGGCTTATGAGATCTGTTCTTTACAAAGAGAGGATAAAGTTGTACCATGATAAATGCATTGAAAAAGGACCTTCAGTCCTTGGGACTTGGTACTACTTTTCAACTCAAGTCTTAGAGTGTTTCCTAGAAAGTTTAGGGTCCAAGTGGTCAGGACCATTTAAAGTGACGCAAGTATTTTTTGTCTAGTGCCATAGAACTTTAAAATATAATGGGTGAACGGTTTATAGAAAATGGACAATGACTGAAGTTGTACATGGGGTTTCTAGAAAATGTTAAGATATTTGAGGAACTCCAACTTCAAGAAGTCTAAGTAATAGAGTATCCTGCATCGCACCGTGACTTTAAATTGTGTGCTACTTGGGACGCAACCCAAGATGTAATTGTGATAAGTAGTTAATTTTCTTGCTTTTTTCTAATTTTATAGATCCACTTTGTGTTGAATGGTTGCAGGAAGTAATGAGGGTTGAAGAACTTCACCACGGGATGGTAAAGGGCATGTGAAGACCTATCGAGTCCTTGGAAAGGGGGCGGCCTAGTCATTTAAACATTAGCCCCAATGTCTGGCAAGTGGTTACGTAATGGTTTATGGTTGGTTCAGTCTTTGACGGACCGTTTAGCCACTTATGAAAATCTAGGTAAGTTTTCTTAATTTTCACTAAAGGTAGCACCACATGTGGGTTAATAGACCATGCAACTCTTTATGAGTCAGTTCATAGTCCGTGAAAACCAGGTTGACTAAAGTCAAATTGACCCAACCTAGTCTGACCATAACCCTAGCCCCCTATATATAACTTTATCAGTCCATAAGAAACAATTTATTCCCCATTTTTTATTAATACAGTCACTACCCAAGGCAATCTCCTAGATATGACAAGCCGTACTTGACCCCGAATGGGTCTCATACAAGCCTACAACAACAGATTCTATCGCAACGGTTTGAAAAATATTACAATAGATGTATATAGCAACGGTTATAGGCGTTGCATATGGTCCACGATGATATCTGTATATGATACCTTGAAAACCGTTGCAATAAAGCGACAACCGTTGCAAAATATTTGGTATTGCAACGGTTTTTGTAACAATTGGTCGTATATAGCAACGGTTTTTCGTTGCAATTGGTCGTATATAACAACGGGTAACGTTCACACATTGTGGGCACTATATTTCCCTCCTTATTTTTCCTTAAATATTTTCACTAAAGCGCCAAAAGTATATTATACAATTAATTATTTTTTCTTTTCCAAAAAATAACAAAACATATAAAATTTCAATTTTCTCTCGAAGCCTATTTTCATCGTCGTCGATTTCTAGTTCGAAAATCCCTAATCATCGCCGGTACTCCAGTTCACCCAAATAGTCATCAGTGTTGCTGTCTTAGGTTCTAATCGGTGTTGGTTGTGAGTGTATTTTGTTGTGTTGTGCTGCGCTCAACTCACAACAAGATCGTTATTTCTGAAATCGTTGTCTCCAGTTCTGAAATTGTTGTTGGGTGGTGCTTCTCTAACTCACACCACAGCTCCCAAATTTGCTGCACAAAGTTCATTCTCAACTTCTCAAAGCTCTAATTCTAGGTTATATTCTCTATTTTCTCATGCCTATTTTGGACTTATTTTCTAATTTTAGGTTATTCTCTCTGAATTATAAAGTCACTTGGGTTGATTATTTGAACTGTAGATTGTTATAGTGTTGAAGAAGAAAGAAATCAACGAGAGCAGCTGAAGAAAATAATATGCTAAGATTCACTGTTGGTTCACCCGGAGATAGGGCTGCTCTTCAACTAATCAATCGTCCATCTGTTGGCTGTAACAATCAAGGTTAGTTTTTTTATTTCTTCTTCTTATATTTTATCTTGAACAACTCGATCATGATTCGTGCGCACCACTGTTTATTGCTTGCTAGTTAGAACTAGCAAGATTGGCCGAAATGCCTAAATATTGAGAAGACATGATCATTTTCTTGCATATCCACCTGAGTATTTAATTGATTTATTGCTTGAGTATTGACCTGCCAAAGTATTGAATTGTTTCATGAGTAGTAAACTGATTTGTTGCCCGATTATTGACCTGCCTATTGAATTGTTGTGCAAGTATTGACCAGCCAGACTATTAAACTGTTGCCTGAGTATTGAATTGTTTCCTGAGTAGTAAACTGATTTGTTGCCCGAGTATTGACCTTCCTGAGTATTGAACTGTTCCACAAACATTGACTTGCCTGAATATTAAATTGTTGCCTGACTATTGAATTGCTAAATGAGTAGTAAACTGATTTGTTGCCCGAGTATCGACCTACCTGAGTATTGAATTTATGCGCAAGTATTGACCTTCCTTACTTTTAAACTGTTGCTTGAGTATTGAATTGTTTCCTGAGTAGTAAACTAATTTGTTGCCTGAGTATTGACCATCTTGAGTATTGAATTGTTGCGCAAGTATTGACCTGCCTGACTATTAAATTGTTGCCTGAGTATTGAATTGTTGGAGTATTGAACTGTTGCCTAAGCACCTGAACTACCTCTTGTTATACATTCTGAGAAGGGCCTGCATTTTGGTTTGGATACATCAGTTTCCACAAGAATTCTAGCATAGGATATTCTATCCATCGAAGCAGTAAAACTATTACTGTATAAAGGTCAGCCAATGGCACAAGCAACCTTACTCAGTGCTTCTCCCAACCAATATCCCACTGGCAGACCTGGGAAGGTAACTCACAGAGGTATTGTCGTGATACAATCATGGTTAAATTTAAAATCTATAACCCAACATTTTGGCGTAAGTAGGTGTTTGGATATACAGGCTAACATTCAACTTATTCCTTCTACCATCTTATCCTAGTTTATATTGTCTCTTAAATTCCTTCATTTATTGAGTAGCATGGTTTTGGATGAAAAAGTTTTCTGCAATGCTTCCTTTTTGAATTATCTGCAATGCTTAAGTAATAAATAGATAAGTCTGTTAGAATTATCTGCAATGCTTCTTTTATGAATAAAGTTTTGGACAAATCCCTCGAGTTACAGAAGCGTGGTTTTGGATGAAAAACTATGGAGAATTAATGGACATCATGAAATCTTTTATTATTTGGAAGGGTGATTTTTAAATAGTTAAACACATAGATATTTTGTTTTAAGAAAGTTCTTTATCCTCTCGTTAAATCACTTATTATCAAACAGATATAACTTTATGCAAATTCTTTTTTTATAGGTATCAAAAATGAAGAAAGGGGAGAAGATCATAGCAATGAAGATGATCTTGACCCTACTTGAGAAGATTTTTGAATTTCTGATATTAGATAGTTCTAATATTTGTTGTGATATCAAACATTTAAAAACTTATATTGTAACTCATTAGTACTGATGAAATACCTAACGAATCATTTGGGTTTGAACATATGTTTTGCTTTTAGGGATATATTATGATCTCTTGTTAGATATTTTGAATTGTGAATGTTTATAAATCTTTTTGGAATGACGACTAATTATATATGTATATTGTATTATAATTTATTTTATATATATATATTGATAGTGTCTTACAACTAGGATTTCTATTTCATATAGATCATTGCAATATGTTGTTAATTAATTAGAACTGTACGTAGGTTGAATAGATAAAATAAGCAATTGCAATAGAATAGAAAACCGTTGCAATAGGTTAAACAACCGTTGCAATAGAACTGGAAATCGTTGATTTATTATAAAAATAACCGTTGTTATAAAGAAAATAATTGTTGCAATATATATTCTACAGCAACGCTTATAAACCGTTGCATTTACCAACTATATTCTATGGCATAATTGTTGCTATAAGAGTGTCTATGGCAACACAAAGTTACAACCGTTGCAATAACCATCGCCATAGCTCTATGACCACTCGAGCTGATGTAACGTATGGAAACCCATTGCACTAGATATATGGCAACGACTTGTCTACCTATTGCAACGGTTTTCTCTGCGTTGCCACAAGCCTATTTTCCAGTACTGTGCAATGAGACTGATATGTCAGTAAAAAGTCCCATAGGCATTCTCTGTGATGTATTGGTCAAAGAGGTGAGTTTCATCTTTCCGGTTGACTTTGTGATTTTGGATTGTGATGTGGATTTCAAAGTTCCCATTATTTTGAGGAGGCCATTTCTTGCCACTGGTAGAGAATTGGTTGATGCGGAAAGTGGTGAGTTAAGGTTTAGGCTGAATAATCAAGAGGTTAAATTCAAGGTGTGCAAAACAATAAAGAAAGCACAAGATATGAGTTTTGTGTACGTGATTGATGCAATTGATGACGGGGTTATTGAAGCATATATAGAAGAAAGGTTCACTGTGAAAACACTAGCCGCGGTAATTATGAACTTCGATGAGGTTTTAAGAGTAGATTATGTGGAGACCTTAAATGCATTGTTGGGCATGGGTTCACATTCATATTCTCATAAAATGTTAGACCTGGATCAGAAGAACATGTCGAGTCCTCCAGCAAATCCATCAATTGAGAAGCCATATGTGTTTGAATAGAACAACTACTTGGCCATCTGAGGTATGTGTTTGTAGATGAAAATAACATTTTGCCAGTTATTGTGGTTGCAGATCTGTGTGTTGAAAAAGTGCAAGCATTAGTGAAAGTATCGAAAAGGTTCAATAAATCAATTAGTTGAACCATAGCTGGCATCATTGGTATATTCCTGGTATTTTCACTCACAAAATCCAATTGGAGGAGCATTGCAACCTAAGTATAGAGCATCAAGGGAGGTCGGATCCACCTATACAAGAGTTGGTAATGAGGGAGATCATTAAATGGTTAAATGTAGGTGTGGTGTACCTTATTTGTTTTATAGTAATTAGGTAAGACCAATACAATGTGTACCCAAAAAGGGCGGAATGACAGTGGTGGCAAACACTAAAAATGATTTTATCCCACAAAGGCCAGTCATAGGTTGTCGAGTCTGCATGGACTATCGAAAGTTTAACAAATCGACCATGAAAGAACATTTTCCAATGCCTTACATGACAATATGTTAGATAGGTTGGACAGGAAATGCTGGTATTGTTTCTTGGATGGGTACTCTGATTACAACTTGATTTCAGTTGCTCCTAAATATCAGGAGAAAATGACTTTTACATACCTATATGACAACCTCACGTTAAAACACATGCCATTTGGATGATGCAAGGCTCTTTTGACTTTCCAACGATATATGATGTCCATTTTCTTAGACATGGTTGAAAACACTTTGGAGGTATTTATGGATGAATTCTTTGTGGTAGGTGGTACTCTTTATTATTGTTTGTCAATCTTATCAGGGCTCTAAATAGATGTGAAGATGCAAACCTGATTCTGAATTGGGAAAAGGTCCATTTTATGTTCAAAAGGGGCATTATATGGGGCCACAAAGTATCTGAGAAAGGTTTGGAGGTAGACATGGTAAAGAGCGAACTCATTGAGAAGTTTCCTTCACCTATTTTTGTTAAGGAAATCCATAGTTTCTTAGGACATGTAAGGTTCTACAAGAGGTCATTAAAGAATTCTCTAAGATTGCACATCTTTTGTCTAAATTGTTAGAAAGGGAGATAAAGTTCAGCTTTGATGAAGCATGCACCAAAGCATTTGAATGTCTTATGGAGAAATTAACTTCAACTCCAGTTATCATTGCTCCAGATCGATCTGAACCATCTGAGGTAATGTATGATGTGAGTGGTGTTGCTATGCGAGAAACACAACAAGATATTTTACCCAATATATTATGCACAAGCAAAGCATTAAATGGAGCCCAAAAGAATTATACCGTCATCGAGTAAGAATTTCTTGCAATCGTTTATGCTTTTGAGAAGTTTAGAACGTACCTGCTAGGCACAAAGTGATAGTGTACACTGACCATACAATATTGAGATATCTGATGGCAAAGAAAGATGCTAATCTAAGGTTGATAAGATTAGTGCTCTTACTACAAGAACTTGACTTTGAGGTTAAAGACAGAAAAAGGTGTTAAAACCAAGTAGAGGACAATTTGTCTAGGTTAGAAGGAAAAAATAAGGGGGAAGTTGAGCTTCACATTGATGACTCATTTCCAAATGAGCAGGTATTACCCGTTACTGTTGATCTTATTCCTTGGTTTGCTGCTTTTACAAGATATCTTGTCAGTGTTTTGATATCTGAGAACACGACCTTTCAACAAAAAAAGAAGTTATTGCATGATGTGGGAACATACTTTTGGGGCTAACCTTACTTGTACAGGGTTTGTGCTGATAATATAATCAGGCGATGTGTGCCTAAAGTTGAGATGTTGAGTACTCTTGAAGCTTGTCTCTCCTCTCCAGTTTGTGCACACCATGGAGGAGCTCACACTATCCACAAATTGTTTCAAAGTGGTTACTACCGGCCCACAATTCATCAAGATACATTTGATTTGGTAAAAACCTTTGATACGTGCCAAAGGCACGGAGCTATATCTCGTTCTCATGAGCTTCCTGTGACCCGTATCTTGGAGGTAAAGTTGTTTGATGTGTGGGAAATCAACTTTATGGGATCATTTGTGAGTTCTTATGTGCGAAAGCACATCTTGGTGGCACTAGACTATGACTACAAATGGGAAAAAGCAGTTGCATTGGCAAAGATAGATGGCAAGAGTGTTGCTAGTTTCTTGAAGAAGAATATTTTCTCTAAGTTTGACATACCTAGAGAGATTAATAGTGATGGGGGTTCACACTTCTGTACCAAAGTGTTTAGCACACTATTGGCTAG